TAATGACCTGTCTAGTGCTATCAGTGGAGTGTTGAAGTCCCCTGCATTATTCTGTTGCTGTCTATCTGATTTCTTAGGTCCATTAGTAATTGTTTTGTAAATTTGAGAGCTCCACTGTTAGGTGCATATATGTTTAGGATTATGATATTTTCCTATTGGACAAGGCCTTTTATCATTGTATAATGTCCTTCTTTGTCTTTTTTAACTGCTGTTACTTTAAAGTTTGTTTTGTCTGATATAAGAATTGCTACTCCTGCTCGATTTTGGTGTTCATTTTCATAAAATGTATTTTTCCACTCTTTTACCTTAAGTTTGTGGGAGTCTTTATGTGTTAGGTGAGTCTCTTGAAGGCAGTAGATAGCTGGTTGGTGAATTCCTATCCATTTTGCAGTTCTGTATCTTTTAAGTGGAGCATTTAGGCCATTTACATTCAATGTTAGTATTGAAATGTGAGGTACCATTCCATTAACCGTGCAATTTGTTGCCTGTATTGTTTTGTTTTGTTTTTTAAATTGTATTTTTGTTTCATAGGTCCTGTGAGATTTATGTTTTAAAGAGGTTCTGTTTTGATGTGTTTCCAAGATTTGTTTCAAAATTTAGATCTCTAACTTTTAGAAGTTCTTGTAGTGGTGGCTTGGTAGTGGCGAGTTCTCTCAGCATTTGCTTGTCTGGAAAAGATTATCTTTCTTTCATATGTGAAGCTTACTTTCACTGGATACAAAATCTTTAGCTGATAATTGTTTAGTTTGAGGAGGCTGAAGATAGACCCCCAGTCCCTTCAAGCTTGTAGGGTTTCTGCTGAGAAATCTACTGTTAATCTGATAGATTTTCCTTTATCGGTTGCCTGGTGCTTTTGTCTCACAGTTCTTAAGAGTCTTTCCTTCGTTTTAACTTTAGATAACCTGATGTCAATGTGCCTATATGATTATCTCATTGAGATGAATTTCCCAAGTGTTCTTTATGCTTCTTATATTTGGATGTCTAGGTCTCTAGCAAGGTTGGGGAAGTTTTCCTCGATTATTCCCCCAAATATGTTTTCCAAACGTTTAGATTTCTCCTCTTCCTCAGGAATGCGGATTATTCTTAGATTTGGTTAACATAATTCCAGATTTCTTGGAGGCTTTGTTCATATTTTCTTACTTTTTTCCCTTGTCTTTATTGGATTGGGTTAATTTGAAGACTTTGTCTTCAAGCTCTGAATTTCTTTCTACTATTTGTTCAATTACATTGCTGAGACTTTCTAGAGCTTTTTGCATTTCTATAAGTGTGTCCATTGTTTCCTGAAGTTTTGTTTGCTTTTTATTTATGCTATCTATTTCCCTGAGTATTTCTCCCTTCACTTCTTGTGTCATTTTTTGGATTTCCTTACATTGGGCTTCAGTCTTTTGTGGTGTGGTGCTTAATAACTAACTTCTTGAATCCTTTTTCAGGTAAATCAGGATTTCTTCTTGGTGTGGGTCCACTGCTGGTGAGCTAGTGTGATTTTGGGGTGGTGTTAAAGAACCTTGTTTTGTCATATTACCAGAGTTGATTTTCTGCTTCCTTCTCATTTGTGTAGGTTCTGTCAGAGAGAAGGTCTAGGGCTGAAGGCTGTTGTTCAGATTCTTTTGTCCCACGAGGTGTTCCCTTGATGTAGTACCCTCTCCCTTTTCCTATGGATATGACTTCCCGAGAGCTGAGCTATAGTAATTGTTATCTCTCTTTTGGATCTAGCCACCCAGCAGGTCTACCAGGCTCTGGGCTGGTAATGGGGGTTGTCTTCACAGAGTTCTGTGATGTGAACCATCTGTGGGTCTCTCAGCCGTGGATACCAGCAATTGCTCCAGTGGAGGTGGCAGGGGGTGAAATGGACTCTGTGAGGGTCCTTAGCTTAGGTTGATTAATGCACTGTTTTTGTACTGGTTGGCCTCCTAGCAGGAGGTGGTGGTTTCAAGAGAGCATTAGCTGTGGTAGTATGAGGAGGAACAAATGGTGGACAGTGCCCTAGAACACCCAAGCATATAAACCCTTCATCTTCAGTTATCAGGGTGGGTAGAGAACAACCATTGGATAGGGGCAGGGCTAGGAGTGTCTGAGTTCAGACTCTTTTTGGGTGGATCTTGCTGCGGCTGCTGTCGGGGATGGAAGTGAAGTTCCCAGGTCAATGGAGTTATGTTCCTAGGAGGATTATGACTATCTCTACTGTGTCATGCAGGCTGGCAGGGAAGTGGGAGAAACCTCGCAGGGAAGTGGGAGAAGGCTGGCAATCACAGGCTTCACCCAGCTCCCATGCAATCCAAAGATGGGAGTCTCACTGCCATCATGCCCCCAACCCCAACAGCACCGAGTCTGTTTCCAGGCAGTGGCAAGCAGAGCTGAGAACTTGCCCTAGTCTACCTGCCTCCCATCTGCAAAAGCAAATATGGCTTTTCTTCTTCCCCCGCCTGTGGAGTCTGCACACCAGATTCACGTCCTTGCCTGAGTTCCGCCAGGAGGCTTCTATATCAGTTCAAATTGTTACAAAATTCAGCTGGAAATTTCCTTCTCCCAGTGGCCCTTGCCTACTGCCTCTTGCCACCCTCCTGAAGGACCCCTGTGAGGTCAGGCAAAAAAGGCTTGCTCAGGGATTCAACAAGCTCCCAGGGCTTTTCCTGCTGCTTCCTCTACCCTTGTATTTCATTTGGCTCTCTAAACTGACTCAGCTCCAGGTAAGGTCAAAATCTTCTCCCATAATCTAGGCCTTCAGTTTCCCCAGTTGGGGTGTGTGTTTGGGGGCAGATGATCTGCCTTTCCCACCTCCACAGTTTGGCCACTCACAGTAATTCGGTTGTCTTCCGGGTCCTGCAGGAGCAATCTGCTCCCTTCACAGGGTCTGGGGTCCTCTCAGGTTTCCTAATTTATTCCTGCAGTCATTTGGGAGTGAAAATTCACAATACGAGCCTCTACATGCTGCTATGTCCATCCAAGTCGGAGCTGCAATGCAGTCCTGCCTCCTGTCTGCCATGATCTCCAAAGCTCACTTTAATTGTGCTGAAGATATGGAATTAATCCTCTCCCTCTGCTGATATAATATTTTGTAAACATAAATGGGTAAAATATTCATAGGGATTAGGTAGATCATCAGGAGAAACATAGAGTAATCTTCAAGGAAATTGAAGACTGTGTCAAAGACCAAGTAAGTCAGTGATTCTGACAATGACAACAAAACCAAATACCTCTGCTCTTTGTTTCCAATCTCATGCTCTTACTAGTTTTAGCTACACCTCAGTCTTAATCCAATAATACAAATAGAAAATACTCCAACAATGTTTCTAGATTGTTATTATAATTCCTAGTTTTAATAGAAGGAAATTGAGGTTCAAGGAGATTAAATAAGTTGTCTAAGGTCAAACAGCTAGTATGTTAAAAAGATAGAATTTAAGCTAGGTTTTACCTGGAGATTGCAAAATGCACGTCTTTCTTTCTACTCCCGTGACCTGAACTAAGAAGTCAGTCATCTATTCTATAAAACTGAAATAGCCTTTATCTTTGTGCCTTGCCTATGCTTAACCCGACATCTGCTTTATTATTTGGTCCTAGACACTAGCTAATTTATAAAGAAAAATGTCCAATCAATTTCTATGAGCCATTCTAAAAGAGACAGGCACAAGAATAGGTGACACTAGGGTTCCTTCAGTTTCTCACCTGGTGGTGGGGATAGGCAGAATGGCACAAAGGGGTCATTGAGCAGCTGGGGATGCCAAACCCCTGAACATCTGGCTGGTGTGTGATGGGAAGTAAGGAGGCTGGTATGGTCTGTACCCATTACCGTAAATATGTTAACCAGCCCACCACACCAAAGGAAGGCCTGGCCTGTCCCATCCACAGATAAAATAATTGAGATATTCTCCAATACCCTGGAACACCAGGAACCCCTTTATATGAATAGCTTGGAAAATGCCTGGACCAGGGCCAGCTGTGAGAATAAACAGTCAGATGAGTTTAGTTGATCACACTTTTAGGAAACTCTAACAAAGTTGGAGACCTTTTCCTGGAAGTTGTCTTACTTATGACATTTATTAGTCCATGAGTCCCATTAATTCTTCTTCTGGGAAAAACAAAGATGATTATAAAGCCAGTATCATGAATGTGATCCCTGTGTGGAATGCTTAGCTTTGCTGTCTTGCTCAGACAGCCTTCAACTCCATCCAGGTTTCACATAAAGAGGACTCTGCTAGAAACTGTGGATGAATCAAAGTTCATCTCCATTACTAGAAAAAGCATATCCAATATTAGTTCTACTGGTTATGGGCTAGCAGATTTAAAACAATTCTGTAAAAAATAAAGCATTTTAGGTTTCTCTCTGGGACAAGTTTATTTTTACTTTTAATTATAAATGTTCAATAAATAATCTTTTCTCAGTCCTCTATTCACATAATATTCATGATTTTAAATGCCCCAAAACTTTTTTTCTAATCTACCTCACCTACAGGTGTAGGAAGGATGTTTAGATACAGACCATACAATGCAGATGTACCCCCTCCTACTTTTCCTACACCTCTTGGAAAAGGTAGACCAACTTTCAATGTTTCATAGCTAAGACATTGAATAACCTGTAGACAGCCACACATCTATGAAGCAGCCATTTTCATGTGTTAGCCATCTATGTCCAGACTGTGTTCTAGGAAACTCTACAAAATGCTGCAGTACTGTCTCCTCATTTCAGTCTCTTGAAGTGTGTACCAATATTCTCTTCCTTTTTTAGGATGACTATATTTTACCCCCCAAATCAGGAACTTTTGGGAACAGAAGAAAAACTATGGTCATCTAAACAGGATTTGAAGCCTGATTTTGCCACTTACAAGCAATAGTTTTTGAAAAGTCTCATTTTCTGTGATCCTCACCATAAAATGACTTTACTTTCTCAAAATAGTGAAGATGAAATGAGATAATTCATGTTAATTACTCAGTCCTGTGCCTTTCAAATAAGCACTTTAAAAATGTTTGTTATTATTATTATTAAAAATTCTTAATATCTTTAGGCCAGAATTCAGAGGATAGCAGGGCACTTTGCAGGAGAAGAGCAGAGAGAAACAGCCTGGCTTTTTCCAAATACGAAGAATTGGAGGGTATCTTTGAAAGTAGGTAAGTTTTACCTGTCTTTTTGTATTTTGTCTGTAGGAGACCATTACCAAAATAAAATCACATAATTAATAGTGAATTGAAATATAGATACTGACACAAACACACAAACAGAACACTATTCATTATAAATGATATATTTAAGATTTTTCTATACTGAAATAGAGAGCTGCATCAAACTTGTTAACTGTTTTGCAGAATTAGACTGGAAGCATTTTATTTTTTTTTAACCATCCTACTTTATGGATGTCCAAGGTTCTGGAGAAAGGTCATGGGATAGGATGTGGTAAGCGTATCATTTAGAGGAACAATATGACGCTGGAGAGAAAGGAAAAAAAGCAGAGCATTTAGGGCCATGTAGGTCAAAGTAAGAAATTATTATTTTATTTAAAATGAAGTATATAGAAATTTAAAACATTTAAGTGGTATGTTTATCAACACTGGAATTTGCTATTGCAGCATTGTTTTCAACATCCTTGTACATGCGGCTTTATACATATTTTAAAAATAGCTCAGGGTAATAGAATTGATAGAAGCAGAAATATCAAGTTCAAATGATTTGCACATTTAACATGTTGATAGGTATTGGCAAAATTCCCTAAAAATATGCCTCACTCTCAGCACTAGTATATGAGAAAATCCACGTCCCCACTTGGCCAATTCTTAATTCCATTTTTAAAGATTTGCTAACCTGTTAAATGCCAAATAATACAATGGAGTTGCATTTTAAGTGAGATTAAGTCAGTGAAAAACATACAAATTACATATAGGCAAAACTACCTTATGAAATTGTAAAATATAATATATGTAATTTGAATGTAGTCAACTCTTGATGATAATCCTTACATACCTGAAATGTAAAATACACTGAACCAAAATAAAAACAAATCAGCAAACAAAAGGAAAGTCTATGCCGGTGTCTAAGAACTCAGAATCAGTCTATTTTCAAGCTAATTGCTAAATGCCTAGGATGAGAGAGTGATAGATAAGGAATTGTAAATAAAATGTTCAAATTTGCCCATAAGGTTCACACCATTCTGCTTTAAGACTCTACAGTATTCCAATAAGCAGTCAAAAGACTGCTTATTATTGAGATAATTAATACAGCAATATATAAAAGTACCTATCATAGATCTGGCACTTTGAAATGCAAATATTAAAAATCAAATTTTAAATATTTAAGTTTTGTTCGATGAGACTGACATTTCTTTCCACTGTCCTTCATTGTTTTCAACATTGGCAACTCCTCTTGTTATAACAATAACAAATGATTACCCATGTATTTTGGCATTGGTTTCAAGACCTTTAAAGTGACATTGGAGGGTGAATAGGTAGGAAGGGGGTTTTACATGCTAAGTTATAAAGTCAGAATTAAGTAAAACATAAATGGGTTTCAATACCAATATAGACAATGACTTGTAATTTAATTGACAATTATGCTGATTCCTCATGAGGTTAAGAATTTTTGACTTCTGCATTGCTCATTTCTATTTTTATGAATTGACCACTTATATTCTTGAAACCAACTTCTATTTAAGTTGTATTGATTTACAGTAGTTCATTGTGTTTGCTGTATGATGTCTCCATCACTTATCTATTGTTTAAGCTTTGTTTATACAGTCTGTGAGATATAGAATGGTTTTTAGTTGATAGGCATATCATTAAATCCTTCCTTTATGCCTTTAATTGTATATATTTACTTAAGAATTACAATGCTATCATTAGAGTGAATAGGCAACCTACAGAATGGGAGAAAATGTTTGCAATCTATCCCCATCTGACAAAGGGCTAATATCCAGAATCTACAAGGAACTTAAACAAATTTACAGGAAAAAAACAACCAACCCCATCAAAAAGTGGGTAAAGAATATGAACAGATACTTCTCAAAAGAAGATATTTATGTGATCTAAAAACATACGAAAAAAACCTCATCATCACTGGTCATTAGAGAAATGCAAATCAAAACCACAATGAGATAACATCTCATGCCAGTTAGATTGGTGATCATTAAAAAGTCAGGAAAGAACAGATGTTGGAGAAGATGTGGAGAAACAGAAACACTTTTACATGGTTGGTGGGAGTATAAATTATTTCAACCATTGTAGAAGACAGTGTGGCAATTCCTCAAGGATCTAGAACGAGAAATACCATTTGACCCAGCAATCCCATTACTGGGTATATCAACCATAGGATTATAAATCATTCTATTATAAAGACACATGCACACGTATGTTCATTGCAGCACTGTTCACAATAACAAAGACTTGGAACCAACCCAAATGCCTGTCAGTGATAGACTGGATAAGGAAAATGTGGCATATATACACCATGGAATACTATGCAGCCATAAAAAAGGTTGCACTCTTGTCCTTTGTAGGGACATGGATGAAGCTGGAAACCATCATTCTCAGCAAACTAACTCAAGAACAGAAAACCAAACACCACATGTTCTCACTCATAAGTGGGAGTTGAACAATGAGAACACATGGACACAGGGAGGGGAACGTCACACACTGAGGCCTGTTGGGGGATAGGGTGCTATGGGAGGGATAGCATTAGGAGAAATACCTAATGTAGATGACAGGTTGATGGGTCCAGCAAACCACCATGGCACGTGTATACCTATGTAACAAACCTGCATATTCTGCACATGTATCCCAGAACTCAAAGTATAATAATTTTTTAAAAAATTAAATTACATATCCAGTTAAGAGAAAAGAATTACAATGTTCTCTACATCCCTCATCCTGTATCATCTTCATAGGAATCTTTGAGGTTCAATTTTATGAATAAGAAAATGATGGTACTCTGAAGTTAACTATGGTATTTAGGGAAGAGTCTAAGTTAGAAGATCCAAGATTTAAGCATTAGAAGATCCAAGTCCTCTAACTATAAATTCTCTGTTGACTCCTCCAGCCATGAAGTCATGATGTAGTATTGCGGGGGCGGCGGGTGGGGGAAGTACCTAGCCAGCTAAATGGGCAAGAAAAACTTCATTGAAGACCTTTGCAAGAAGTAGAAGAAATTGAACTCAATTATCCTAGTACAAGTATGTACAATTATTATTTGTAAATCACATTTTTAAAAGGTGTGAAGGTTTTTAGGCAACTGAGTGAGCTAGCAGAAAAATCCTGGAGAGCTTTAAGGGGGAGCAGCTAATGTGATTAGGCCATCTGTGTTTGCTCATTGGTGGATATCAGTGTTAGGCTACCACCCTCTCACAGAGACTGGGAGATAGAGATGCTATCTTTCTTTATAACTACATTTCAAAGGATGGCTCCCAGGTACTGAGAAAGACATTCCTGGCTTATAGAAGACTTACATTTCAAAAGGGCAAATAAATAATTTATAAGTTTTCTTATGTAAACACTCTAAGACAAGGGAGGTCAGCGGCCTGTAGTCAAGAAGAAATCTGTCTAAACTTTTCTCAAAGTGAGGGAGAATATAAGGCAATTTTGGCCAGTAAAAGGGCTGAATATATTTGCATTTTGAGTACTATTCTAGAACATGACTTATTATTAAGTGTGGTTGTTTTAGGATTCTTTTCTATGTGTTTGTTTCAAGTGACAGAAATTCAATTCTAGTTAGCTTATTATCTTAATAGTTCAGACCCAGAGTGGTACAGGTGCTCGAATGATGACACGAGAACTGGCCCTTTATTATACGGCCTTTTCATCCGTTTATCCAGCTAAAAGTGTTTCCTTGTTTCTTGGCTATAAGTTACCCAGCACCTGTTTGCATGTTAAATCCATTCTCTCCTGCTAGATGGGCTCTCTGCACATGGTGTCCCATGCAAACAGGCTGGTAGTAAAAGCAAGGTTGCCATGACCCATCTTAGTAGCGCACTCAGATGTTCATTTGCCCTAGACAGGGCAGATATCTCATCCCTCCATTACCCATCCTCCCAGCTCTTCTGTATGGAAGAAAAGTGATTCTTTTGCCACCTGGGCAAGGACTGCCTCGCCAACCCCCACCAAAAAAATAGGGAAAAAAGTGTTTACACGTTAAAAGTCTTCCTTCTTACTCCTTGCAAATTTTGAGCCAGTATCCTAAAGAATTGGTTATGCTACAGGTTGAATTCACTCTGATGATCTAGGGTAGAGACTTTTTTATGTTTTGCTTTATTTTTTATTTTTTGCTCATTCTTCCTAGTCACTAGGATTACAGTGAGTTTCCAAATGACTAACTGCAACTGAGAGAAAACCACAAATAAGCACTGCCCTGGGAGAAGGCCAGTGGGAAGAACATTGGCTGGTTGCTGAGATATCAGGTGCTCCTCCAGTGATCCATTCAGCACAGCCCTTTGGAGGTGGCCACTCGCCGGGTTTTATTTCAGTGATGCAAGAGAAATGAATCTGATCTATGATCAGTAATTCATGCTGCCCATTGGATTTAACCTCCAATCTGAACCTTCTTTAAAGGGTAAACTATAAACCACACTAAATATTTAGAAATGAAGTTTTAGGATTATACATTTATAACTTGCCAAAGCTGGAAAAGGCCTTACATTGGCCTATATTATTTTATGAGGGAGGAACTTAAGGCCCAGTGTGGTTACATGTTTGGCCTAGGTTTACATGAATCTGAAGAAAGAGGAAAGCAGACTTCCATTGCTAGCTTCTCTTTTAGCTTTCCTATTGCCTACTCACTCATTTCAGAACTCATTTGATTTTTCTCTAAATCCCAAAAGAAATCAAACCTACAATGAAATTTCTCCTTTCTTTACATAAATATACAAATGTTGTAAGTTTTCTTTAAAATCCATATATACCACTGATTTTCTAGTATTTGTTCATCTCAAAAATCCAGAGAATGCACTAAGAAACTAAATCAAGAAGCCTGTGCATTTATACAATTAATGCCCAATGAATCCACTTTTGTAGGTGAATGTAACACTGTAAAGAGATAGAGGAGTCCATCACATAGGTGATAAAACAGACACTCTTAGTTTCTCAGAAACAGATGGATAGAACTAAACAAAAATCTTTCAAGATCACCTAACATGTAAGTAATGGAGCTGGGTTTAAACTTAACATTTCTCTGTTAGAGTTCTTGTTCTTTGATTCACATCACATTAAAAGGCAAGAATTTGCCTTTTCTGCAAAATCACCTTCTATGATTCTTACTTAAGGAGGAATTTGACAGAATCGTATCAACGAAGGTCTCCTAAAAGAAGAAATGGAAAGAGGTGGTTTTTCCAAAACAGTATTACCGATTTCTGGAAACTACACATTTTAAATAATATTTTGTACTTTTGGAAACAGACAGAGAAGTCTAATGACTTAGGAGAATTAACAACAAGAATAGTAGTAGGACTAGCCTATAAGCCAGACATCTTACCTTCAGGGCCTGAATACTTTCCACCACATTCTGCTGCAAAGAGATGGAAAGAGAGAAGGTCTCATTTATTTTGACATTAGTGATTTATTCCCTAAATAAGCTACTTTTTTCCTCATACAAGATAGTAGATCATAAAGGTGGACAGTTGTTACACAGCCAAGCTCTGGCAGCCACTGGTACAACTCAGGAACCATGGTTTCCTCCCACCTGCTCTCAGTTTCTTTGACCCAGACAAAATACAAAAGGAACAGTAGTGAAAGAAACCCTACACTGGGCAAGGGTCATGCCCTAGAAGTTTTCTGGTGGGCCATATAGGGGGAGCTGGAGGCTTGACTGCTTTGAGCTATTTTTTAGATGAATGGCCGAGGAAGAGAGGATCACTGTGCATCACTGCATCTCTTTTGAGCACAGATCTACGTACTTACTGCAAATTTAGCCTCTAAATGGTATCTGCACCTTGCAAATCTCAGGAATGAACTGTTTATTTTTGGGTAAATATGAGATTAAACATTTGTAAAGAGTTTTATGAAGTTTCACCATGCCTATCATCTCATTAAACTTGTGCAAGCCCCATTGAGTTACTATCCTAATCTTGCCTATGAAGAATCTGTGTGGACTTCAAATTTGTCCTTCTATTTTCAATCTGTTTCATACCAATCTGATTCTGTCTTAATGACCTTTAATTATTTACTCAAAAGTGGCAGAAATCTGAAGAAAGCATTCAGGGGCCCTAAGTCTTAATATTCCATATGCTCATGCTGAGAATGGCTCTTGCTTTATAGGTATACTTTCTTCTATGAGGAAGACATTACAGTGGAAACATGTGCTCCTCTTCTTACTGCAGATAAGAGGAATCTGCATTTGGATGAATACTTCGTGAATACATTTGTGTTCTTGACTGGTAACTTGTGATCTATTATTTCTCCATTTGGTGTGGCAACTGCCCACCTGCAATGACCTCTTTGTGAAAGTCTTCGATTACCCTCCTTTATTCTTTTCAAAAAATTATTTCTACTTTATCCAATTCATTTCAGGGGCTTTCATTTTTAAACAGGATGAATTTTCTGTTTTAGACAAGGTATTCTGTGTACGGTAGAGAAAAATGATAGAAGCAGGAGACCGTGACTCTATTAATGTGCCCATTAAATGTAGCAGCCTTGCCATTCAACTTTATAGCCTACACATGTGAAAACTGGTACCTCAGCCCACTCTGCTTCCTCTAGAGAACTTTGCTGTGCTTTGTTTCATTACTCTTTCTCATTTCTATGATTGTAACACTACTGGTTCACCATAATTCTTCCTAGATGTTTTTCCTATTGACAAACCAAAGTTGCTCCCAGTCCTCTGGCTTAGTGAATTCAGAGTTCCAAATTCACTCTGTAGGCTACCTGGATTTTTGTGTGTGTTTATTCTTCATCCTTACCCCCTTGTTTTCATAATTTAAGACTCCTTTGAAAAGAATCTTTGTAACACCTTACAATCCAGTATCCCCCAAATAGACAAGGAGAGCTTGGGTCATTTCTTTTCCCCCACTCTGGAATCATCAAGTTGTATGATTTGTACAGATTATGTTCCTTCTATGGATATTCTTTTAAAGAAATAGCAGACAAGATGTACTGTCACACAGGAAAAGATCAGAAATCCAAAATTGAAATGGGCTTGAGAGAGAATAAAATCAAATTCCTTGTATTTTACAGATAAATAAATTTTGATGTTAATCTTAAGATTTTAGATCATGGACTCCATTGAGAATCTGATAAATCTACAGACACATCAGAAGAAAATGTGTGTACACACTAAATTTTCAGGAATCTTATAGATGTACTAAAGCCCAATTCCCCTTGCATAGGCCAAGTTTGCCCAAGACTCAGTATAACTGGTGTTTAGATCATTAATTTTGGTAATTTGTATTGAACACAAATTAATTGTCTTGTGTTTATCTTTCATTCTTCTTTAGTCTTTTCAAGCATATTTCATTAATATGTTTACATAAGATATATACAGAAAAAAACTGGAAAGAAATGTACTGGAACATAAGCCAAATTTAACAAATAAATATTTTTGAGTTTCCATAGATTATTTTTGAGTTTTTATAAAAAGTTATATATTAGGTTAAATAAGATGTTATGTTTAAAGTTCATATATAACTATATTTGTCAATGAGGAAAAAAGTTTTGCTCAACAAAAATTCTAATATTTAGTGTGTAAACAATCTTCATTTATGTCACAGCAAAACTGAGAAATTTGTAAATCAAAATTCTTAACCAGATACATCTGAAAGTGAAAAATTATCAGGTTATTTTCCATGCTAAATAAAGTACAACCTAGAAAGAAACAGCAGGCCCTCCTCACTTGAGTGATGAATGATCATAAATAAGAAATGTTATAAATGTACTGAATCATGAAATAAAGCTATTATAATTAATCATGAAAATACATCAAATCTGCTGAAGACAGATAAAGAAAAAAAATGGTCTCAGCAAAATTCCAAGCTCAATAAAGAGTTTAAAAAGAGGCTTCAAAGGTAAGTGTTTACAGGTGACTTCATGTTCTCCTATTTAAAAAAAAAAATCCTCTTATTTAATTCCACAGTAAAGATATATAATATTGCTTTGTCAGGAATGACAGACTTAGGTTAAGTACTTCAGGAAGTCTCTGCAGGACAAATAAATGAGTATATATCACCATGTCAGAAAGCTACTGAATAAATCAGTGAGTACGTTTTTCTTATTATGTTCAACGTAAAGAGGCAGAAGATGCTGAGAACTCAGGCATTTGCAGCAATGGAGAATTTGTCTGAAGTAGCTCGTGAGACAGAGTCAAGATCTGGGTTCATTACTGGTAGGTCAGAGTCTGATTATGAAAACCCGTGTTCAGACCTGAGGTCTCCACAGAGGACTTGGTTGCCTGTATGTGTATGTGTGTGCAGAGTTGGTGGGTCGGGGGGTAGCATGTGTTTTCGTTACTGAGGCTTTTTATCATCAGAGAAAGCTTGTCATAATCCTTGATCTGAACGAGGAAAGGGTAAATTATCCAGGATTAAAAGCAAAACAATAATATGAAAGAAGTTAAATTCAGGAAGCATATGTCATCAATTTGAGGTTGGGAGGTTAAAGAAGAAAAAGTTCTGTTCTCAGCTATAGCATCAATTCACTGAATGGCCTTTGGGGATTCATAGAGTTGGAAGGTGGATTACATGTTGTACTTGTGATGCTTTCTATTGCGAGATAACTGCAACTCATATGAATTTATGAAATAAAGAAGTGGGAAGGGAGGTTAATGGCTTACAAAGTGTAAGTAAAGAAAAAACAAATCATGGAGGTGGGCCATCAGACACATCTGAAACCAGAAGTTGGAGCAGTAGTAATGTGGCCCATTGTCTGTTATCATTACTCAGAGAAAACAACACTGGCCCATTCAAAAGGAAAAATAGAAATTTCATATTTTATTTTTTTAAAAAGCTATTATCTCAAGCATGTCCCAGAATCAAGTAGGAACGATGGATGGGATGCGTGACCTTTTAAATCCCGCATAGTTCTAAGAGTCCATGACAGTGTGTAAGTTTTAGAATATCCAGAATGTTGGTTTATTTTACTCTATTTTGTTCCATTTCTTAGTAGTAATATTATTATTATGTCAAGAGAGCTGTTTCAGTTTCCTTAAGGTAAATTACTAAGAGGCAGTAGTAATCTGTTGGATAATTGCATAAGGTTTGGCATCATAGTGTTCTGGATTCAGAATTATCAAGCATTAATCAGTTGTGTAAATTGACACAATTAATTTCACTTTCCTTAGCATCAGTTACAGAATTTACAAAAGGAGAATAATTATATTTCCTACATTATAGTTTTTGAAGATTAAATGAGTTCATGAATATCAAGTACTTACTACGTACCCACATATAGAAGGAGCTCAAAAACTATTACTGCTGTTACTATTATTGTTGGTTTTGCTGCTGCTGCTATTACTATTAGTACTACAATTTCTACTGTAGTAATAATATTGATATCTCTTTTCACACAGCTATTCATTTACCACTACAGAGGGTTGAATGCATAGCAACAGGAAAATATTACATATTGCATGTTCTGACAACAGTATTTCCAAGACTGATCACTGCAGTTTCCCTTGAATGATGGATACTACTACCCTCTGTCAGTGATTGCACCACAATCCTGTGTTTTTACAATAAAAGTTATTTGGCTCTATCCCTTTGTCAGGTCATTTTTTCATGGTTAGAGGTAATTTAAGTCATGCAAAGAAAGCAGTATAACACAAAAAAATGCCTGTTTGTCTTTAAAATAACTGTACCAAATTTTAAATACCAATTCCCAGAGTGTCAATAGGAAAGATAAACACCATTTACCTAGTACTTTCAATTTTTCCATTTGATCTCAACTGTAATCCTGTGAGATAGCTATGATTAATACCACAACTACATAAATAAGACAGCTAAAGCTATAAAAATGGCACTTTTTCCATTTGAATTCTAAGTGACTGGTAGAGCCAAATGTTGATTGTGAGTCTTTGGACCAAAAAAAGCTGTTCTTTGCACTATATTCTGTATTGTGTAATCCATTAGTCTGGTCAGCCAATAATTTGCCATATTCATAATTTACCACATCTCACTCAATTTACATTTGAAGGGTTTGGTTAGAGCCCTCATTGGCTTAACAATTTCTCTCTCCTCTTGTAAGTATCTTAAGAACACAAATTAATGCCCTAGTTCCATCTAGCAAGGAGCTAGATATTACTGAAGAGGAGAGAAGAGATGTTTCTGGTGGTGGAAAGCCAAGGAAGATTTTAGGTTTCAGGAAACTTGATTGAGAATGAGTTGGAAAAATAAGAGATCCAGAGGATTTTCCTTGGGTGAGCACATAGGTAGTCCTACAGCTCCTTTAAGGATCTAGAATTGAGGTCATAACATTTGTGTGATATAAACTGAAGTAGAGTAGAAAAGAGTAGCCACTCTAGATTTTCAAAGTTCTATGGCTTATAATGTGCAAATCAAGCTCAAATGGAAAGTCATGCTTTCCATGCTTTCCATACATTCTGATTCTCTCTGTCTTTCTGTCTCTGTCTCTCTCTCTCTCCACCGCCCCCCCCCCCCCGTGTGTGTTAGGCTATAAGACTAGAATAAATATTGGGGCTTGGATTCCCCCTTCCCTTCCATGATAATGGTTGATTGATCCTTACTGATCTTCAAATAGGATAAAATAGAGGTTAAGTTTGATAATGTGTAATATATACTTTCTCAAAATGATGAGTCTGTGGATTTTCTTTAGAATTAGGGGATGGCTTTCAAGTTTTTTTCCTAATAAATATTTCCCTCTAACTGGGTACACTCTGGGAAGATTTGATTCTTTCAGGATTTAGCATCTTTTCTAAGTGGTTTACTAAAGTGCCACTAATGTCCCAAAATATACAAAATGCATACATATCCTGCATCAAATCTCTTCTCTTACACACATTTTGTGCTTCTGTTAAGGATCGTGCATCTGTGTTCACCTTTGAAATCCAAATGGCGTGGCCTTCAAGAGCATGGTCATCCTTGCCAAGTGTTAGACACTCTTTGTTTTCTATTATAGCACCTGCCCTAGAACTTTAAATAGACTTTTTTTTTTCCCCAAAATACCATGGAAGTGTTAGGAATTTAAGTTTTGGTATACACAATTTGTTTCTCCAGGTCACATCTGCTTGGCATTTAAAAAGAAGTAAACAAACAAGACAGAATTTCTCTGGCTTTTACTCCTACATATTGTTGCGGATGCTGCAGCAACCTCTGAACTCCCTAATATATGTAGGGAGTCTCCTTGTAAGGACAATGTTTTGAATGGACTGACTGGATTTGTCCCCACAGGGCAGGGAGGTGGAACATGGGCACTTTTGTTGCCATTTTCAGCTGATGATGTTATCTGTGTGAATACACATATTTCCACAAGCTACACGTGTGTGGGGAGTGGGGACTGCTGCTCTCTAGTTCGTAAGCAGAGAGGGCCCTCCCATTGTCTCTATCATCTGGCCCTGCATGCCTGATAAATTTCAGCTCTCTCCATTCAGACATCAACTCCATGAACCTGCCGTGTGAACTACCTAATGTTCTTCCACTGTGTCAAAATCTCTGTGACTTCTGTGGGTCTCACTTCTAGCTCGAATTTTCCTCTGCTTCCATTTGCTCTCTCATTCTTAATAATTCTTGACTTATGTCCACAGTTATTTCCTTCCAAATCCTTCCCAGGTTCTCCTAGACATGTTCTCTGTATTTTTCCCCCAAGGACTCTTGCCTGTACTATAAATGTCTGCTTAATTATTTCCACTGCTGGATGGTGAGCTCTTGAAGACAGGATATGGTGTTAAACATCGTTTTATTATCTGTGTTTTGCATAGTGCTTAAGATGCAGCAAGTACACAATGAATACTTGTTGCATGAATAAATTAATAAATTTCTCACTCAAGTTCATTGTAATTTCTGATTGCACATAATGTTTTGGCCAAAAACCATAATTTTAGACTTTTAAATTAACTACAAATCCTATCAAAACTAAAAGCAGAAAGAACAGTAGGAGTTTACTGAAAGTAAAAATCAAAACAAAACCCAGTGGGAATTCAGAATGGGAATGTAGTTAGTTAATCCATGTCTGTAAATACAGTACTATAGCACATATGTGAGTGGGCCAATTATTTACTCACTGACTAGGAGAAATTCAGCAAAATTATCTGATGGAGCCATTCACCTAGTACACCCTAGGGACTATTCTATCCTGAGAAAAATGATCTGTGGCAAGTGCAATTTCTATGTGTTCAATTTTTTTTTTCTTAAGCGCAGAGTTTCCCAGCCTCCTGGCCTTTCCAGCTCCTGGGGGAATTTCTGATGAACTGACAATGTAGCCAACATATCCATCTAACCTCTTTGGATATATACAAATAGAAGTTGTACTGGAGTCCACAGCTCCATATTCTCATGAATTGAAGAGCTGTTGCAGAAATGGGTTTATAAATGTAAATACTAGAGCTGTCTTAGAATGTATCTGAAGCTTCTCTCAGCCCCATAACTTCGAGTGGCCTGAAAAAGTTTCTGTATAGACAGTACAAAGTGCTTCCCAATGTCAACCTCTTAATCACATTGCTCTCTCACTCAATGATAAAGCTGGAAATCTCTCAACAAACCTTTCTACTTTTGTATTAGCAATCACAAAATACAAGAGTTCCCTGAAAGCCGTGTTGGGCCAATCAATGCTGAGCAAATCACAACAGGAATCCTGTGGGCTCTTGATGGAAAGTAAAAACCTCAGTGAAAACCAACCATTCCAAGATAAGAAGAAGAAGATCAGATTGGAATTTAAAGATAACATCTTTTCATGCAAAATTGATATTATTGTTTTGAAAAGAAATGTAATAGTAATAAGTATATTCATGTTTTAAAAAAAGACATGAAGAAAGCAAGGAAGCTTTTCAATTAATGTAAAATCTGATCAAAGCTAAACCATGTCATTAAAGTAAGAAAGAGGCTGCGGAATGCATGAGACCTCTGAGTAATGTGTGGCATTGGTCCATATCACAGCCTGGGAAGCTTCTTGGTTCAGTCTTAGCCACCCATCAGCCACAAATAACAATCTATAGCTTGTTGCATTGGCAGTGTAAGGATAAGAAACTAAGGCAATTAATTGAGGGAAGATGTAAGAAGAACGTAATTTATTTTTTAAATGGGCAGAGAGATCCAATCTTAGTGACTAGAACAATAAATAATAGCAATAAATGGCTAGTAGTTTTTGAGATTTTACTATTTGCCATCTCTGTGTTAAGCACTTTCTATGTGTTAGTTCATTTTAATTTTAAAGAACCACTGTTTGCCTTTCTCAGTTGGTCATAAAGATCACCTCTGTCTTATGTAGCCCTGAGTGTGAGCTGAGGGAGAGGCCCTGGTGCAACTGATGGATGACACGAAGGTGAGCAAACTGGTTGTACAACATAATTGGGTTCTATCCTGGATATGATATTTCCATCTCACAATAAATTGCTGCTGGGTCTTCCTTTCCACCATCTCACAATGCTCCATTATTATGAAGACCTAGTAACATGCATTTTAGAGGAGTGTACAAATTCATGCTGTGGTTGGCACAGCCTCGCTCCAGGACTCTAGGAATCTCTATTGTGAGTCTCCATCTGAAGCGTGTGATAAATTCCATGTGACATCTAATCCATCCTAGAAACATTTAATAACATAAGCTCTGGATGATCATGTGCTACAAATGACAGGGCTGCTTGAACTACAGCTTGAGCCTGCTTCACAGCTTTCTGTCCTCTGGGCTTCCCTCAAAGCCAGCAGCCTTGTGGGTCACTTGGTACATGAACTTTTGCAGTTTTCTTAGGAGTGATGTTTACTGCCTCTAAAACCTGGAGAGCCCTACAAGGTGTTTTGCTTCCTTCGTTGTTGAAAGAGATATGAGATGTAATAATGTGTTTTTTATTTTGGAGGGAAAGTCATAGCCAATCACAAATCATTGACCTAAATATTTCATTGATGGAATGCACCTCAAACTTTGTAGAGTTTATTCCTGTCCCTCTGGCACATGTATAATAATAAGGTCTCAGATATGTTGCTACTTTTGGCACATACAATGTAATAACACAATGTCATCAAGACACTGTATCAGTAAAATGTTCTATGGAGGGTCACATGGTCTAGATCTCTTTAGACTGTATTATAACAGAAGGTGGGGGAAGTTACATAGCCCTTTGGAAAGGATATAAATTAATCTACTGTTATCTTTTACATGAATGAGAAAAGTTTATCTGTGTCCTTTCTGATAAGGATGGAAAGGGATGCATTCCCTGGAGTAATAGAGGCACACATGTATCCTGAGTGTACGTTAATCTGCTCTAGCAAAGATACTGCCTTACCACTGCAAATGGAATTGAGGTTACTATTTGGTTGAGTTTGTGGTAGTCCACTAATTTTTTTCTGGAATATACCTAGATTTTACAGGGACCAGACTGGTGGAGTAAATGAAGATGAAAAACACCTCTGCTGAATCTTTTGAATCTTTTAGGATGGCTCTAATTTCTGCCACTCCACTCTCAATTTTGTTTGCACTTTCTATTTTGACTAGAGGGCAAAATTGCCTTAAGAGACTATCATAGGATTTTCTACTATAATTGTTC